GCACGCAGACGGGCTGGCGGCTCTCGCTCGAGCGGATCCGGCCCGCGGGCGGGGGTGCCAGGGGCCTCCACGCTGAGGGCAGGCTGACTTGGCGCCCCGCAGAGCGCGGCCCTCGGCCGACCAGTGTCCAGCTGGCGAGCCGCTGCGCCGCGCCGGACCTCGCCTGGCCGGAGGTGGGGCAGCCTGCTGCCGCAGTCGCTGGGGTTGCGGTGCGTCTCGATGTGTCGCCTCGCCCAGCGCGCATTGGCCGCCACCTGCCAGGCTCCCGCGCGCCTGACCAGCGCCAGGAGGTCCCACGTGCGCGACCTGCCTCGTCCCATGGCCAGGACCTCGGACATGTTGTCGCCGAGAGACAGGACGACGGACGAGTGGTGGCCCGGGTCGCTGCAGTACCCCTCGAGCCCCATGATAGCGGCCCGGGCCTCGAGGTTGTGGATCTTGTCAGGCTTCCTCCACTTGCCGATGACCACGGCTTCCCACCGCCGCGGATCGCCCCAAGAGGCGCTGAGGGTCGGGACCCGCCCGACGTCCTCCACCAGCGGCTGGCACTCGGGCACGTACCGCGCCCTCGCGTCGGCGACGTCCCGCAGCAGGTGGTCGCGCGCGAAGTCGGTGAAGGCGCCCTCCAGCACCGCCTCGGGGCCGCCCGCCAGGGCGCCCAGGAGCTCGCGCCTGCGATCGAGCCCGATCGACTCCGGCTCAGGCTCCCGAAAGCGCCACCGCTCATGGAACTGCGCTGCCCCCCAGGCCTCGCGGGCGGTGGCGACGGCGCGGTGGACGGCGAAGCCATGCTCCGAGGCATCGGAGCAATACGCCACCCCCGCGATGCTCCGCCCGAGCTCCACGACGGCGAGCGGCAGCAACCCCTGGATGATGCGGAGCTCCTCCAGCGTCGCGGTGTCGAGCCTCCTCGCGGGCCCCGCCCCGTCTCCAATGAAGCGGTAGACGAAGCACAAGCACGAGAGCAGCTCCCGTCGCGCCGAGAAGTGATCGACGAGGTGCCCCACCACGCGGCGCATCTGCGACGGCGCCAGCGCCGGCCGGCGGATGAGCTCGTCCAGCGCGAACCACAGCCGCCACATGCGCCGCCGCCGGGGCAGCAGCATGCGCCTCCTCCCGCGGATCTCGCGACCCACGAGCTCGAAGTCGGATCGGGGCTCCTGTTCCTCGTGGAGGACGAACCCGAGCCGCAGCAGCTCGGAGCGGAAAGCGTCGTACCCGCGCCGAGCGGCCTCGGGCGATCCAGCGATGATGTTCCCGTTGTCGACGTACGGCGCGATGACCACCGAGTCGCGGCAGAACGGCGGCGGCGGCCTCAGTCGGCGAGCGTGGTCGCTGGCTGGCCGAGGCTGACGAGGGCCCGCCGGGCCGCTGCCTCGAGCGCGCCGTGGCAGAAGAACAGCGCCCAGCTCCAGCCCATCGGCAGCCCGCCAAAGCAGGCCCAGAGGTGATCCTCGGGCCCCACCTCCACGTAGCCCGCCTTCTCGTCGCTGTAGACGGAGGTGACCCCGGCCTCGGCCGCGGTGAAGGACTCTCCAAGCGAGAACCAGCTGGCGACGGAGTCCACCCTGAACTGGTAGAAGCCGTCCTTGAGGTCCATACCTGCGCAGGCAACCTCCAGCGCCGCGTCGCCACCGCCCCCGAAGCCGAGCGCCTCCGCCGAGAGCTCGCTCCACTCGTCCGAGAGCACGAGGTTCCCCAACGCCCCGGGCGTCGCCAAATGCGACTTGGGCGCCCGACGGTGGAGTTGGTTGGTGGGGCGGCAGTCCAGGACCAGCCGGATGGCGCCCTCCTTCTTCTTGGCGAAGAAGGCCCCGCACTCAGCTCGGGCGCGGAGCCGCCAGGCCACGAGCCCGACCTTGTCGAGGCGCCGGATGAACTCCCGTCGTGCTGCGCCTGGCCGTTCGAACTGCTTGTCCCAGTGCGCCTTGACCGGCGCGTCCACCGAGGCGAGCTCGTCGGGCGGGAGGACGATGAGGTTGTCCGGGTCCTGGAGGTACCTGCGGCACTCGTCGCCCACCACGTCCAGGGCGTCCAGTGGCACGGAGGTCCGCTCGATCACCTTGAGCTTCGAGGGGTCGTAGTCGGCCTGGGTGGAGTCCTCGTCCAGGTCGTAGATGGACTTACACTGCGCCAGCTCGGCCAGGGCGCACTCGGGGAACTCCTCCACGGCGACGGGCGCAGGCGCGAACTGCTTAGCTGCTCTAGCAACGTTGCACAACATCGCGTCCTGCACGGGCGCGATGTCAGCATCAAAAAGACGGCGAGGCTCCTCGGCGCGAAGAACCCTTCCCGGCTGGCAGCGAGCCATGGCGTTGAGAGACGCCACAGCCCCTTCGACCAGCGCCTCGGTCTTGGCACGCTGGCGCTGCTGCCGAGCAAGATGGCGAACGCCACCTCGACACTCCGCTGCCTGTCGAAGGCGAAGCGGCAGCGGAAACGGCCCACCCCCTGCGACCATGACGACGCCGCCGGAGGAGAGCACCAGAACGCCTCGACTGACGAGGCTAGCCTTTCTCCTTGTCCTTGTTGTTCTTGTCCTTGTCCTTGTGGCCTCGGCGCTTGTCCTCCTCCTCCTGGTACAGGCGCTGCTGCTTCATGGTGAAGGCCGCGGTCTTCTGCTCCTCGGCCGTCCACCGCGCGAACTCTCCCGCGAGCACGCCCCCAGACGAGTCCAGGGTCGACATGGTCATCAGCTCGGTCCCGCGGAAGTCGGGGTTCTTGGGATTTCGCTTCGTCGCCTGGTGAATCTGGAGGATCAGGCGCCCGATCATCTTCGCGGACGAGAGCTGCCCCAGGTTGAGCTGGTCGAAGCTCAGCATGTGGTGGAGGATCGTCATCAGGTCTCTATGCTTCATCGCCACTGGAGAATCGGGGTTCACCCCCGACGCGCGCACCCAGTAGTCGTGGAACCCCGCCAGCTCCTCCTTGGCCGCCCTCGCAGCGAGCAGCACCTCGCGGATCGCGGAAGGCGCCGCAGGGGGGAAGGGCCAGTCGCTCGGTGCCTTCCCCGTCTCGAAGAACTTCATCTGGGTGAGCCCCTCCCGCATGGCAAGGTACCTCGCTCGGCCGACCTCGCGCTTCACCGAGAGCACTCGCGGTTCCCGTCCGGGCCCCGTCCTCTTCTCCTCCCGCCACTCGTCGAGGTCCTGGTCGCCGACCTTCTCCACGTACGTCCAGAAGGTCTCCCCGTCCTCCTCCACCTCCGCGAGCCCGGCGGCACCCTTCGCCAGCAGCCTCAGCGGGTTCCTGGCGATCTCCGCCGGCACCGTCTCGGCGAACTTCTCGTACGCGGTGTCGGCGAAGCGCCAGTCGGCCGCCAGGCCCGCGCCGGCCGCCGCCGCGCCCTGCTCCGCAGGCGCTGCTCCCAGCACGTTGCCCAGCGCATCCGCCTCGAGCCTCACAGCCGCCAGCTCCTCGTCCGTCGGCATCTCCGCTGCGTACAGGTTGCCGCGCACCCGCGCGGGCGCTGGCGCCCGCCTCGGGATCGGCACCACGATGTGCTGGGACAGGTTCACCACCACCACGTCCAGGTCGGGAGTCCAGCCCACCCACCGACCGTCCGCCAGGCGGACTCGCAGGACCCTCACATGCCATCTGAAGTTCGGGTCGTCGTCGTAGTTGATCGCCACCTGAGGCTCGGGGATGTCAAGCGACAGCCGTGCTGCTGCCGCTGCCGCCGCCATTGTGCCTCACGGGCAGCGCTAGCGGCGGCGCGACCTCCAGGCGGCCTCCTCCAAGCCGGGCTCCACGCCCCAGGCTGATGAGGCCGACGAGCGAGGCGAGCGCGGCGCGGACGGCGACGCGCCAGTCCTGGCGCCGCGGCTGGTGGGCGCCTCCTCCAGCGCCGCGAGGCAGGGGCGCGGCCCCGGCTGCCGGGCGCCCCTCGGGCGCCCCCGCGTCCAGACCGCCCCGGCGGCGAAGCCCGCGGCCACCGCGAGCCCGCTGCCCAGCGAGGCCGAGAGCGTGAGCCCCGGCCGCTGCTGCCCGGCCTCGCTCGCCAGGCACTCCACGCCCTTACAGTCGCAGGTGACCGCTGGGCAGACGGGCGCCGCCGCGGGCCCCGGGCACGCCCCGCAGGTGAGCCGTGGCTCGCAGACGCAGGCCGGGCAGGGCGGCGCGTCCGGCCGCACGGCCCACCCGCCTATGGCCGAGGCAGCCAGCTGGTTGGCGAAGCTGGCGGCCGCAGAGACAATCTCGTGTACCATCCGCTGGGATGGAAAGACTCGAGAAAAAGGCTGCAGAGGCATTCTCGTGAGGGTTAAAGGGTGCACGCACTGTCAATGTGTGTGCATATGTAGGTATATATATTTACAAACATATACATACATACCTATATATACATACATACATACATACATATATATACATACATACCTATATATACATACATACATACATACATACATACATACATACATACATACATACATACATCCATCCATCCATCCATCCATCCATCCATCCATCCATCCATCCATACATACATACATACATACATACATACATACATACATACATACATACACACACATACATGCACAAACATACATACATGCATACATACATACATACATGCCTGCATACATACATACATACATACATACATACATACATACACCTATGACATATGTATAATGCGTGTATCGCTCGCTCTACGTGGTCCCGCTTCTGAGGGCCTGGCCGTTCGACTTGCTCCGCCTCGTCGCCGCGCGCGAGGCCGCGACCGCCAAAACGCGTGCATCGCTCCCTCTCCCCTTCTGGATACCATAACAATGGACACTCTAACGGTTCTATCATTGAATAAAACACATATTTTATATGTCTTCTACATGTTTGAAACATGTTCGGAACATCTTCAAAACATGATAGCAGTAATTCAAAACACATAATTCATACATGTTTTAGACATCTGGAAGTGATTTGGCAATGCGGTTCCAATCCATTGATCGTCTCCCGCAACTCTCCTCCTCCTCCTTCCAAGGGCTCCCAACTTCGCGCTTCGCGCTGCGCGAAGCGCGAAGTGCGAATAACTTCGCGCTCTCGCGCCGCCTCCCAAGGAAGAAGTGGAGGGTGAGGAGGAATCGGAGCCGACCCGCGAAGCGCGAATAACTTCGCGCCCTCGAGGGCGCCCTTGTCCCTTCCCTGCCTCCGGCGAGAGGGCCGCCCGACCTCGAAAGGCGGCCGCGAGGGCGAGCAGGCACGCTCTCTGTGGGCCCCTCGCCTCGGGCGGCGCCCTCGGGCGCGCCGCCGGCATTAACAACACCCGGCTCCTCGCCCCCGTCGGGGGGCGGGGCCTGTCGCGACGATCTGTGCTAACCTACAGAGTAAGACGAAGCCAGGGCGAGGACAAATTCGGGCGAGCATGAATCGAGAATCTCTGAGATCCGGCGACTCTGGGGCATGTATCCGGCGCCGTGGAATGCTCAAAGCACTCGAGAAAATACTCTCTGAAACGGATCCGTCCTCGTCCCAGCCTTGTCCGACAAGGGGAGAGGGCCAGGAGTGCACGGCAGGACCTAGGCATCAGGCTGCGTGCACAGGCCGGCAATGAGTGGAAGGACTGGCAAGCGCCAGATAACGCCAGCTCCCGAGGCGGGCGGTCGGCACGACCTGACCCCATCTGCGTCCCCCTCCTCCTCCTCTCCTCCTCCTCCTCCTCTCCTCCTCCTCATAATACTACTCCTCCTCCTTCCTCCTCCTCCTCCTCCTCCTCCTCCTCCTCCTCCTCCTCATACTACTCCTCCTCCTCCTCCTCGCCCTCCTCCTCCTCGTTCTCGTGGCCAGTTTACACCTCGGCGTATCTCCACCGCCTCGCCTCATCTTCCTCTTCCTTTCCTTTTTCTCCTTTTATTATTCATGTTAGTATTGTTATTATTCTTGTCGTCATCATCATCATCATCATCATCATCATCATCATCATCATCATCATCATCATCATCATCATCATCATCATCATCATCATCATCATCATCATCATGATTACTATCATTATTCGTATTCGTATCATGGTTTGTATCATTGCTTTGTTTCGCCTTAGTGTTGACATTATTATTACTATTATGATTACAACAATTACTACTACTATTATTGTTTTCCAGTTGCTATTATTCACATGCTTATTTTTCTTATTCGTCATAATATTATTGATCGAATTCCTGTTAGTGTCCTCATTATTCTTCGTATCATTATTGTTCCTCCTCCTCCATCCGCCTCATTCTTCATTCATCCTCCCTCCTCCCACCTCCTTGTACTCCTCGTCCTCGTCCTCTCCCTCCTTCTTCTCCTCCCGCCTCCTCTTAGAGTCGTCGTCGTCGACGTCGTCGCCGTCGTCGTCGTCCTCCTCCTCCTCATCATCATCCCCAGCATCCTCATGCTATCATCCTCATCCTCATCCTCATCCTCATCCTCATCCTCATCCTCATCCTCATCCTCATCCATCCTCATCCTCATCCTCATCCTCATCATCATCATCATCATCATCATCATCATCATCATCATCATCATCATCAGCATCAGCATCAGCATCAGCATCAGCATCATTAGCATCATCAGCAACAGCAGCAGCAGCATCACCGTCACCACCGCCATCATCATGATCGTCCTCCCTCCTCCTCCTCCTCCTCCTCCTCCTCCTCGTCATCTTCCTCCTCGTCCTCCTTCTCCTCCTCACCCTCTTCCCCCTCCTCCCCATCGTGGTCCTCCTCCTTTTCCGCCTCGTCATCGTCCTCCACCTCGTCCTTGTCCTGCTTCTGCTCGTCGTCGTCGTCGTCACCGTCCCTGTCCTGCTGCAGCTGCTGCTACTACTGCTGCTGCTGCTGCTGCTGCTCGCTGCTCGCTGCTCGCTGCTCGCTGCTCGCTGCTCGCTGCTCGCTGCTCGCTCCTCCCTCCTCCCTCCCCCCTCCTCCCTCCTCCCTCCTCCTCCTCCTCCTCCTCCTCCTCCTCTTCCTCCTCCTCCTCCTCTTCCCTCCTCCTCCTCCTCCTCCTCCTCCTCCTCCTCCTTCCCAGCAAGGTGCTGTGCCCGTGCCTTACTGTGGAATAAAACGCGCACGGGGCGCTGAGCAGCGCACACCGCCCAGGAGCCAGATCGGCAAGGAGGAACACGAGGAGGAAGGAGGAGGAGGAAGAGGAGGAGGAGGAAGAGGAGGAGGAGGAGGGACCATAACGCCGAGTGAGGGGACGGACGGCAGGGACGGGATGATGGTGTTGACGATGACGATGATGATTCTGATGGTGGTGATAGTGAGGATTAGGATGGGGGCGAGGATGGACTTAATGCTGCTGCTGGTGGCGGTGATGATGATGATGAGGAGAAGGAGGTAGTGGAGGCGGAGGAGGAGGAGGGGGAGGAACATGATGATGGCGGTGGTGACGATGAAGCTGATGATGGCATGATGATGCTGCTGATGATGAAGTTGATACTGATGCTGATGCTGATGCTGGTGATGATGATGCTGCTGATGATGCTGCTGCTGGTGAAGACGATGACGATGACGATGACGATGATGATGATGATGATGATGGCGATGATGCTGCTGATGGTGATGATGAGGATGATGTGTAGGAGGAGGGGGAGGAGGACGAGGACGCTGACGATGCTGATGATGCTGATGATGATGGTGGTGGTGATGATGAGGAGGGGAATGATCCCCCCGCGCTCTGTTTCTCAGTTTTCTAGTGTCTGATGCCAGCGCCGTCTGGGGTCTGACTGCACACAAGCGTGGGAGAGCAGATGCACGGCGGCGCACACTCACCCGATGTGAAAGAATGAAAACGGCTTGGGTAAGGCCACGGGGAGCCGAAAAACTAATTACGAGCGCGCATAGATCATTCACGTACAACTCACATGATCCCCCCGCGCTCTGTTTCTCAGTTTCCGAGTGTCTGATGCCAGCGCCGTCTGGAGTCTGACTGCACACGAGCGCGGGAGAGCAGAGGCACGGCGGCGCACACTCACCCACATCACCCATAACATGATGTGTCACCTACTTTGCTGCGTTGGGAGGAGTAGCTACACGCTTGCCACGGGCACTGAAAACAAGCGGCGGCGGCGGCTGCACCGCTCGGCCTCTGAGGATCGAGTCCTTGAGCGCGTGCACCTGCTCCTCGAGCCAGCAGCGCAGCGCCAGGGGAAGCAGGGCGTAGTCTTTCATCAGCATGCCTGACTTCTCATAGCGCTGCACACTTTTGGTAGACATCCAACCACCACGACATTGCACTTCGCACAGGTTGCGATTCTTTTTATATATATATCCCAGGAGGCGCCCGCATGGCGCAACTGGTAGGGTACAATGTCTTGGCCGAGCCGTCGGCCCTGCTTACGAATTTCACGCACTAGCTCTGGATATGTAAAATGCCACAAGCCCTCATTACGTTTTCCGACGGCTAGAATCTGAAGAACTTCGCCCATCCGTTCAAAACCCTGAGTGTCCCACAAGATGGTGTCGCCCTGAGTTCCCACCTTCGAGACCTGGTGGAGGTCTGACCTGTGCGCCAGCACACGCCACATGGCATCGACCTTCATGGTAGGTGGGACCAGCGAGCCCCTGGTGAGCTGCATCATAGAGCCTGGACGCAGGTAGGTGCAGAAAGCGATGATCGTCCAGATGGCCATGTCCAGGTGACCTTCGTAGGCAAGCAACGCGGCCAACCCTGCGACCGTCGGCAGGGTCAAGGGCTGCCGACTGCGTGGCGGGTCCAATTTGGCCCAGCCCCTGGCAGCCCGCCAGGCTCGCGGAAGGGAAAGGTCGCCTAGCTTGCCGAACCGAGGTTGAAAGAACACCACGGCTGCGATCAACTTCTGGCCGATGCCCGCGTCGTAGCCCAGCATGTACATGTGGGTCATGAAGGAGACAATGGCCACGTCGAAGTCCTGCACTTTGTCGGTGTTCAGCTTGCGCTCGTCGACGTAGTCCACCAGGCCTCGATATAGCTTTCGATACCGCGCCCAGGTTCGTTCTCCTACCGAGCTTCGTTCTAGCACCGAAACGTGCTTCATACCTGGCTCTTCTGCCATCTTCGCATGGTGGATCTTTCGCCTCAGCACGCGATCCTGCACGAGCGGGTTGCCATCCTCCTCCGAGGTCGTGCCGTCCGAAGCTTCCAGACGGTTGACATCCCTCTCCGCTTCCTCCAGCAGCACGGGCAATGGGAGGCGATCGCGTCGCTGTTGTAAAGTAGCCTGCCACCTCTTCTCTAGAGGCAGCGTGTCCGTACGACGAAGAAGCACACGAACTTCCCTCTCCTCCGTCGGAGCTGCTCTCTTGGCCTTCCTCACCAAGGACATGTCGAGCCCAATCAAATAAAGAAGCAGAGCACGGTGGGTCTTCATGCTTGGCCAAAACGGCTACAGAGCTTTGCCGTTCTCGAGCGAGACGGCGTATATCAGGAGTGACGCTCAACTCGACCGTGTTCCCCCGCTGCAGCCCGGGGCCTCTGGAAGGTTTGTCGGAGCTGTTGAACTCACTCGGGGCCCACCTGAACCCCGCGGAGAGGTTTCGCGACAGCGCCAGCGCCGCCGCCCGCCGAACCTGCATCAGCAGAGGAAAGGCACGGGCCCTGGATCTTGCAAAGCTGAGCGTGACACCGAGATTGCCCCCAAGAGCCAGCAGACGGCAGCTATGTACCCCAGGTTCCAAAACCACATTTGCGATCCCAAGGACTCCAGCTCTGGCTTCCCCCTCATGCACGGTCATCTTCCTCCTCCAAGAATGGCAGAATCGCACTTCCCAGTCCTTCCCCACAAGCCCCTCGAGCGGAACCTCAGGAAACAACAAATCTTGCTCCCAAAGCTCCGACACGTCCTCAAACGACGGCGGCGGCGTCACAAACACCAGGGGGGCATCAGGGTCGAGGCAAGAAAGCGCATGCCCGCGAGCCTGCGCAGCATCCCGACGAACAAATCTGGCTCTCTCCTGGACTCTCCCTTGAGCGGCCGCCCGGGCAGGAGACCTAGTAGCAACACATGCTCCAGCACCCTCAGGGCAGGAGTCATACGTCAACACTTCTCCAAGCCAACCGCGGGACCAGTCCGAGCGAATAAGAGGCATGAGGCAGAAGACAGCCTCGAGCTCCTCACGCGCTGTTGGCCACAGTGGAGCCCACGAGTGACGGTACCGCCGAGCGAACTTTTAGACCGAGGCGAAGCAGGAGAGGAGAGGGCGCTGAAGCATAGCGAGGTAGGTGCAGTGGCCCAGAAGAACCTCGAGGGTTTTTCCCGTTACCTTGGGCGCCTTCAAGAAAGCCTCCAGAGCCCAACGAATCTTCCAGTATCGCTTCCCAGCAGGCCTGGAACACTTTAGTTCGCCGTTGAACTCGATCCCAAGAGCGTCCCGAACTTGGCCAGCCTCCTGGACTTCGTGACACTGCATGTTGTTGGAGTTAAGAACGTTTTTGATGTTATCAAGCGACCTCTGGACCTCAATCTTGTCCGCCCCCAAGACCCCCACGTTGTCCACATACACGTAAAAGACGGGCGCGGAGTCCTTACTTATGATGAGCCCGCCCCCCCTGTCCTCCACCGCCACAGGGCCTTCCATTCCTGAAGCCCCCCGAACCAGGCGAGCATTGACACGCTGGGCCCAAAAGACCGACCAAGAGAAGCCCATGGGGAGCACAGCCATGGCGGCCCACACAAGCCCGTCTCCAGGCACCTCCCGTCCCCGAACATGTGCCAGACCTAGCTCTCGTGCGCGAACGGGGGGTAGGCAGAAATAATCGCCCAAATCGCTGTCTACGCCGATTCTGTGGAAGCAATTGTCCACGTCAAGAGACGCCTCAAAAAGCTCAACACCTCCCTCAACCTCCAGGCGAGCGAAACTCTCGGGCGTGGCCAGTAGAGTACTAGGAGGTTCTCGGAAAAGCTGATTCGTACGTCTTGCATCGATGATAAGTCGCTGTCTTCCATCCTTTTTTCTGACAAAGAAGGGGGTCGCAATCTCTTTGGGCGTAGTCGACCACCTGATGAGACCACGCCTGTGCAACATCTTCAGAAAGCGAACGTACTCGTGCCGTCGAGTGCGAAGCTTCTGGTCAAAAATACGGGTTAATAGACTCGCCGTAGTCTCTCATTTGCATCACTTCCTTCACATCTCTCATCATGCTCTCCCTAAAGTTCACCGCCGCCTCCCTGTCCTCCTGAGAAACCAAGTCCTGAAGTAACCTCCTGTCCTGGACTCCTTCGGGCAGAGAGACAAGGGCTCGATCGAACTCGACGACCGCGGAAGCTGTGTGGTCATAACCACACTTGCTCTGGAGGAGCTCGCGCACGGCTCCCTCCTTATCCAAAAAAGGCGGCACAGGCGGCTGTTGGGCAACTCGCCCCGCGACAAAATCATGAATCTCGCCCACCACTTCTTGGCGAACGAGAGGGCTCGCAGCTCGGGAATATAGCCAGTTGAGGCCCGTCAAAACCTCCCCGAACTCACGCGACTGATGGCTCCTGAGGTTCGCTCTCCGTCTGCACCTTCTCGAGAGACGCGTCGACGGAGGAGCTGAGTGGTCACAAAACTCGAGCGGAAACAGCGGCACCTGTCGTGCCTCCTGCGCATCACTCTCGCCTGTCAGCGTGCATGCCGCGCGGCGACTGCGGCACGCACTATCAACGGTCTTGCTGGCAAGGAAGGAGGCCTCACTCATCCTTGCCATCCTCCTTGTCCTTGCCCTTCCCAGCGGACTTCCCGCGCTTGAGGGCGACCTTGGCCTCGTCCCTCAGAGCCTTGGCCTTGCTAGTCTGCTTGTCGATCTCAGCCTCCTCTCGCACCTCCTTGGCCACGTAGGTGCGAAGCGCCGGCGCCGCAAGCTGTGCACGGCGATTGTAGCCCGAGAACTTATCAGCAATCTCGTAGTTCGGGTTCATGGGGTTCTTACCATGAGCCTCAAGTATAGCTTGCCATCGCCGCCCCAACCTCTCGAAGGCCGCGAGCGAAGCCACATTCAGCTGATCGTGAGAGATAGCCAGCTCGAAAACCTCCGCCATCACCCGCATCTCATGGATAGAGCGATCGTTCTCGCTCCAACCCGCCGTCTGTAGGTGGCGCTCGGGCCAGAACGCGGGCACCATCGCGAGCTGAGCAAACGACATCATCAACCACAAGAACGTGCGAGGACCATCCAAAGGCCAGTCCGAGAAGGCGTCCTCGACCATCTCCTTGACCGAGTCCACCCAGACGCGCCCCCTGCGGTTGAAGGCGTTGAACTTCACCGACAGCGCGCGGACGTCCTCGCCCGCCTTCTTGTCAGGCTCCTCACCCGATCCAGGGAGCTGTGGGCCTGCAAGAGCCCCACGAAAGGCCTGGAGGCCTGTGGGCGAGCCAGGGGCTCCCTCTCGCTCCTCGGGCGTGTGAGCGCCTCCCAGGCCCACCAGGAGCAGGTTCTTGCGGCCCGCGAAGTAGCCGTCGAGCTCCTCCACCTTGATCCGTTCGAGCGCCGCGACGACAGAGCCAAACTTGGCGAACCCGCGGTTCCCCAGCCTGCTCGCCACGGACTCCTTGGCGACCTGAGTGCCGATCCTCGCCGCCTCCTGACCCCCGTCGAAGACGGGCTCAGACACGACCCAGACCCCGTCACTCCCAAGAGCGTCGGCAAGGTCAGCCTGCCCATCTGCATGCTGCGGCAGAGGAGGAGCAGGACCTCGTGATCCAAGGAGGGGCCGACGGAAATTCCTGATCGCGAACGTGTCATCTTGCACTCTCGCGTGAGCGATCTCCTCGAGCCCTTCGTCGAAGATGACCTGCGACGCCTCGGCCCTAAGCTCCGTGAACTTGCCCCAGGGAACCTTCTGATCGAAGCGGTAGATGGGCCTAGGAAAACCCCTTGGCACAGTGCGACCTTTCAACAGCTCTACTCTGATGGGCCCGCGATCTCCCGTGGTGTTCCACTCCTCCGCATAGACATCGAAGTCAGGCGAGGCCCCAACCCAGATACGTCTGTCATCCAGTGACTTAACTTCCCTCAACAAAATCCGTTCGTGACCATAATCGTCCCCTTCGTACCAGTAGATGGCATAGCCACCTGGCAGAGCCTCCACGGCCCCCGCCATCACTGTTCAATGCGACCGTACCCTCCTCGACGAGGGGCAGCAACACGACGAGGACAACAAAACCGAGTGAGCAGACCTCCGACCGCTGTTCCGAGAAGCACTCCCAAGAGGCCGATGTTGGCAAGGGAGACGGTGTCGTCCGTGGGTGCGACGAAGCCCGTCCTGTTGAAGAAATCAGGCGGCACCTCACACACGGGAGGTCGTTCCAGCGGCGGCGGACACACACAGTCAGGAGCCTTCGGACACTCCGAAGGCCGAGGACAATCACAGAAACAGTCTGGGCACTGGTGTCGTGCGGAAAGTGAAGCTAGCGAAGCGAGCTCCCTCGCAAGTCCGACTGCGAAGAGACCGATACCAACCTCTGGCCTCATGCGTCTGAGCCGAAAAACTAATTACGAGCGCGCATAGATCATTCACGTACAACTCACAGGAGCAGGAGGAAGAGGGGGGTCGCCAGCTCAAAAGGCAGAACAGAAAACCCGAAGCGGCGTTGGCAAGCACGCCCTGGCACATCTGCCATGTACAATGGGCACGCGTACACAGAGGGGTGACGTGCACATGCTGGGGGAAGGGGGCGGGGGGCGACGATGGGGACGAATCGCCCAGAGGAGAGCAATACTCGTATCCAGTGGCGCCGATGGCCCATGCCTTCGGGGAGGCTCCCAGGCGAACACGTGCAATGCCCGCCCCTGGGCTACTCGCCCCTACAATCAACCCGTATAAGAAGGACGCACGGCAATGATGCAAGGGCCTTGGAAGGCCATGTCGACACTTTGCGAGCTGGGCTCGGCCAGCGGAAGCGGCCAAGGATGGGCCGAAGGGGAAGGATGCGGGGGCAACCCTGGTGGAAAGTTGCTCATCCTCACTGTGCGGGTCGACTGTATCGTCGCCTCCGAAGATTGTGGGGTGGGAATAAACACCGGCGCTGCTCAGTCCACCCGGCGCCCTGGCTCCCCGCGCCTCTCAGGAGGGAAGCACACACACAAATAAACGTCGACCTCCAGGAAGGTACGGTATATAGTTATGGGAAGAGGGGGAGGGGAGCCGAAAACCCAGAACATGTATGAAAACATGGTGAATCCTGGGAGCTGTGTCTGTGCTTCTGTGCGTCCCTGGGTCCCTTCGGCCTCCTGCTGCTCGACGGGCTGGGCGCGTCGCGCCGCGGCCGCGGCCGCGGGGGCAGGCAGGACAGGTCCGCCTGGCCGCGGGGCACGCCGTCGGCGGGCACCCCCAGCGGGTTGGCATCCTCCGGGCCGGGAGCGGCGGGGATGCCGAGGATGCAGCGCGCGGCTTCGCGCGGAGAGGCGCGGATGCCATGCCGTTAGGAGGCAACTGCTGGGAGGCTTTCGTCGGAAAGATTAACGAAGATCAAGCCCCATTTGGGAGCTGTTACGCCGGGGTGGGCCTGGGACCAAGCAGGATTGAGCCGGACTAAGCGGCACTAAGCGGGATTGAGCCGGAGTAAGCGGGATCAAGCTGGATTAAGCCGGATTTCGGACCAGGGCGAAAACAGAATTCTACCTCCCAGGAGCTGCATCCGAAATGCCGAGGTGCGAGGCGGGGTCGTGGCTGCCGACGAGGGCGGGGGGGAGATGCGCGCGCCTGGCACGGGGGGGGAACTCGGGCCCTGGACCCCGGGGGCCCCGCGTGGCTTTTTCTGACGCTCCTCCGGGGCCCGTGGAGGGCCCGAGAGAGCGGCGACGAGCCTCAGGAGAGGAGAACGAACTACGCGCATGCACCGATTCTGGCCAGGCCCCTCCTGAGCCCAGCATCGGTGCATACGCCCTCCTACCTTGGCCAGGAAGGCACATGCACCGATCCTGGGGCCGAGGATGGGCCTGGCCAGGACCGGTGCATGTGCATAGCTCTCTTCGCCCGACTCAGGGCCCCGTGGCCCCCCACGGCGGGCTTCGCTTGGCGCGTGCTCGAACGGGACACTGGCCGGGTGGGTGGCACTCGGGACCTCACGAGGCTCCGCCGCCTTGCGCCAACACCCGACCTGGCTCCCGACCCTCCTCCCCTCGGGGGCTTGAAGACGGAGGCAGGGAGGGAGGGAAGGGAAGGGGGGGAGGGGAAGGAGGGAGGCCAAATCACCGACGATGTGGTCTTTTCATTCTGAGTGCTTCTTTCTTCGCTTTCGACCTTCGCTGCGCTCGACCTTTAGGGGGCCTCTTGCATCGAACCTCCATAAGAGCCCTCCCAGATTGTGTTCGAGCAGATGGTGTCGGAGGTTCGCGCCGCATCGCCGATGCTGAAGGGGAACTGGGACACACAAATAAATACACACAAATAAAGATATCCCCCATATTTTCCCATATTTTCTGTGTTTTTGTCTTCCCCCCCACTTCCCATATTTTCCCATATTTTCTGGGGAGTCGACGATTAATTGTGTCTGTGTGTTTTTTTTCCTCCTGAGATGCAATGGCGATGCGGCGGGATCCTCCGAGCCCATCCGCTCAGAGACCATTTTGGGGGGACGAAGAAGCATTTACCGATACAGCTACTCCACTGACCTCCCCAGGGGTGCGTCATGACCAGGTTTTCGAGGCGAATGCCGCCGTGGCGGCGAGGGGAGGGTAGCGGATCGGAATCTTCTCCTCCGCAGACATGGCCTTGGGACTCCCGCAGGCCCTGGAGTGCCATGTGGGACCTGCACTAGAACGGGAACATACCATAGACGGACCTACCTGTTCTCCGACATTGTACTGCAACGAACGCAACGGCCACCTTTGCCTGTGGACGCATCAACCCCGAACGTGTCCTGATGTTATATTGTAGCAGCGCCCAATGTGTCTATAGAAGCCTATGGCTAGGAAGCGAGAACGGCGCTTGGCATAGGCTCCAGACACTTGTTGGTGGTGATGGTCTGCATTTCTCCTCTGTGGTAGACTTTGCCCTCCAACGCGAGTCTCGGCGGCGCGCACAAGAGGGCGGCGCGAGGGGAGGGCCTTCTTAGGAGACGGCCACGCTGCTAGGAAGGCGGGGGCCTTCTTGGAAGCCCTCCCCGCTTCTCAGAAGCGTTATTAGAAGTCTCCAGGTCCTTCTAAGAAGGCCCCTGCCTTCTAAGCGGCGCGCCGCCTTCTAAGAAGGCTACCCCCCTCGCGCCAGCCCCGTGTGCGCGCCGCCCAAAATCCTCGAACACGTGCGAGGACCCTTGAGACTGGGCCCCACTGGCCGATTAACCCCCCTAGATGTGGATATAGGCTGCTCCCTTCGGATTTCGAGGGGCAGGTCCCCAACTGGGGTGGTGGGGTGGCGGGGCTCGGGATGGGGATGGGGATGCTAGGGATCGGTTGAATGGTACTGACCAAAGCAATTCCTCGAACACTGCTGCTTGGCCAGGCCCATCCAGAAACCAGCTGGCCGAGTCTGGAGGGCGTATACACAGCTACAGGGTTCAGGATGGGCCTGGCCAGAGAGCAGTGGATCTGTATAGACTTCGCCGCCCGAGGGATGGGGATGGGGATAAGGATCGGTTACAGTCGGGGCGTTGACCTAAGGAACCCTAAATAAGGAACGCGGCCCCTTTTTCCCGTCAGTTATAGTTCGATCTCCCATCGAAAACCTGCGGAAAACCTAAGGCAAGCTGTGAAACAATCAAGGAACACGGAGCCCCTCCCCAACGAAAAGGGTTCCTTCTTCAGCGCCCCGACTGTAAACGATACCGACCAAAGCAACTCCTCGAGCACACGAGAGGACCCGTGTGGGCTAGTGGGGCTCGGGATAGGGGATGGGCACAGGGACAGGCATCGGCGAACATCGGCGATCGGTGGGCGACTCGGGCTCGGGACGAGGATGGGGATCGAGATCGCTCGAGCGATGCTCTGACCAAAGCGGCTCCTCGAGCACGGGCGAGGACCCGTCGGCCTGGTACAGCAGCAGCAGCCCCGTCCAGGCCGTCGCGGCCACGTGCAAGTACCTCCGTCGGGGCGCGCCGGGAGGCGCTCCCTCTCCCTCTCTCTCTCTCTCTTTCTCCCGCTCTCTCTCTCTCCCTCTCGCTCTCTCTTTCTCTCTCTCTCTCTCCCTCCCTCTCCCTCTCTCGCTCCCCCTCCCTCCCTCCCTCTCTCTCCATCTCTCCCCGCACCTCTCCGCCTCTCCGCACCTCCCCGCCCTGGCCGCGCGGGGCGCAAGGCGAGTTCAGGACTCGGCGGCGAACGAGGAGGAGGAGGAGGAGGAGGAGGAGGAGGAGGATGAGGAGGAGGAGGAGGACGAGGGGGGAGTGAGAAGGAGAAGGCCTTCTCAGAAGGCGGCGGGACTTCTCAGAAGCCCTCGCGCCTTCTGAGACGTTTCCTGTCCTCGGGGAAAACTGCGAAAACTTCTTAGAAGGCTGGAGGACGCCAGAGCCGTCTGAGAAGGCCTGCCCCCTCTCACTTCCCCCTTGGACTGGCCGCCGAAAGACAAGGACGAAACATCACAGTTTTGTGTTGTATGGCGACCGGAAGTCATACAAAAGCTGGGACGAATCATTACACGCTTTTCTTATGGCAACCTGTAGGCAATCAAGACCAAACGAACAAAATCTGCAGGACTTATCGGGCACCGTCTGCGTTCCAGAGCGCTCTGGAACGCACTGGGAGCGTTCCGGGACAATTCATCCCGCTCATAGCCCCGCCCGACGTATACCCTTCGATGATCCCCAGAACGTGTGTTACCACCAACGTGCGTGTCCATGGAGGCCCTTCAATACGACGCAAGCGGTGTCATGATATATCGGTGGAGCTGACCCTCTGAGGAAGGCGACAAAGAGGAGGAGGAGCAGGAGGAGGAGGGGCAGGAGGAGGAGCAGGAGGAGGAGGAGCAGGAGGAGGGGGAGGACGCGTAGGATGATGATGATGATGATGCTGATGATGCTGATGCTGATGCTGATGCTGATGATGATGATGATGATAATGATGATGATGATGATGATGATGATGATGATGATGATGAAGAGGAGGAGGAGGAGGAGGAGGAGGAGGAGGAGGAGGAGGAGGAAGGGGGAGGAGGAGGAAGATGAGGAGAGGAGGAGGAGGAGGAGGGCAAAGGAGGAGGAGGAGGAGAGGAGGAGGAAGGGGGGAGGAGAAAGAGAGGAGGAGGAGAAGGGAAGGGATGATGATGATGATGATGATGATGATGATGATGATGATGATGATGGTGATTGTGGTGATGGTGATCATGCGGCTGATGATGAGGATGATAAATTCGAATGCCGATTAAGATGCTGATGATGATGATGATGAGGAGGAGGAGGAGGAAGGGGAAAGGAGGAGAAGGCGGCGGAGCAGGAAGAGGAGGAGGAACGGGAGGAGAAGGAGGAGGAGGACAGGAGGAGGAAAGGGATGAACATGAGGAGGCGGAGGCAGAGGAGGAGGAGGAGGAGGCAGGGGGGAAGGAGAAGGAGGAGAAGGAGGAGGAGGAAAAGGAGTAAAGAGATGATGATGATGATGATGATGATGATGATGATGATGATGATGGTGATCATCATCATCATGATCATGATGATGATGACGATGCGGATGCAGATGCTGATGATGATGATGATGATGATGACGATTATGGTGATGATGATGATGATGATGAGGAGGAGGGGGAGGGAGGAGGAGAGCCGGCGGATGGAGGAGGAGGAGGAGGAGAGGAGGAGGGGAAGGGGAGGAGGAGGAGGGAGGAGGAGGAGGAGGAGGAGGGAGGAGGAGAGGGGAGAAGAAGAGGAGGAGAGAGGGGGGAATGAGGAGGAAAAGGAGGAGGAAAGGGAGAAGGAGGATGAGGAAGAGGAAGAGGAGAGGAGGAGGAGGAGGATGGGAGGAGGAGAAGGAGGAAAGGGATGATGATGATGCTGATGATGATGAGGAGACGGAGGAGGAGGAGAGAGGGAGAGGAATAATGGGGGGAGGAAAAGGAGGAGGAGGAGGAGGAGGAGGAGGAGGAGGAGGAGGAGGAGGAGGAGGAGGAGGAGATTTTTTAGATTGCGCATCTGATTCGCCTGGTGACGGTCAGAGAGAAGGCGGCGCTGCGGCTAGCAGACTTAAAAGGCTGCACGGGCACCAAGTGAACAAGTACAGTACAGTACCTCCATCCCACCACCCATGGAATGCACAAACCCACCCAGTCCCATAGTATTAACTGCGCCAGCGACTGGATGCGAGGCAGCAGTGTGGCACTGGCAAGGCGCGGCCACTGTCGACTGGAGGCATTTGGCATGTACAGCTCCTGCGTCCGTACTAAAACTCGAATCTCGCACCAAGGCAAGGTATATCTCAGCATACAGTTCGGGCTTAACGCCGAGTGCAAGTCCCACCTCCAAAACATCCTTAAACAACCCACCAACCTCCACTAGTCATTAAACGCCAGCTTGGCTGATTTTCAACCGTGGTCAGGAGAGAGCGTACGGAACAACAGAGGGGCGGTCCTGCCACGGTGTTCCCAACTTTCCCTGTCCGCCAGGGCACGATTCTCTCTGATCACAGCATTGGAGAGAGAGGGCAAGATGGGGAGAGAGGGCGGCTGCGTCTGACTCGCTGCAGTCTCATTCGATCCGTCCGACTAGGTCTCGTCTACCAACGGACCTAGTTGCTCCACTGCCAACTGTCTGAGCTGGAGAGACTGCACTCTCACCCCTCCCGACGACTCCAAACCTTGTCTGCAAGGCACCAGCAAGAAAGGCTGGCGGCAGGCGAGGGCTGCGGCGCGCAGCCGCATGAGCACCTGGCTGGCGGCCGCGCGGACTGACGGACACACGGGGGTTCGGTGCCACACGCAACGGGTGCGTGGTTAGCGACGGTCTACGCTCACCGAGCCCCCTGCCGCTGCCCCCCACGGGCCAAGGCTTGAAGCTTGGCATTCGGTCGGTGACAGAAGCACGGGGGCGCACCTCTGTCCAGGTTGACGAGGAGAGAGAGGCGGTGTAAAGAAACAAACGGAGGGGAGAGGCGAGGAGTCGCTCGCTGCTACACTGCCGCGCCGCTCGCTCGCGCCGGGCGGCGGGGGCGGCGGGGCGTGCGTGCGGCGGCGGGGCGGCGGGGCACGCGCGCGCGCCCTGCCCTCTGCTCTCCCCCACGTCCGCTGCAGTCCTCTAAACCTCATCCTCCACTCCTCCAGGGCGGCACGAGCCACAGTTGCGGCCTCGCCAGCAACTCCAGTCTGCCTGGCTCTCAGGACGCTATACCGAAGCCTGTCGCATCTCACGCCAAAGCCGAGCGGTTGACCAACTGACCCATGGGCATACTCCTCTTCCAGAGGGCGCATCTGGTCATGGGTCTTAGGAGCCTGGAGGCGTTTGCCAATGGCGGCGGCCATCTGGGAGCACGGGTGAAATAGATAGGGATCAACACGTACACACAGGCACGAGGGGAACTGCAAACTCGAACGAGCAACCACACACGATATGGTCGGCAGCAGGCCCAAAGAGGCAAGCCGTGCAATGGTAACTGCAAGCTCATTTAACGGGAGGGGAAATGTCCCACGGAACCTCCAACAATGGGAAACTGGCAAAACCAACGTCAGCTTGCAAGAACCATAGCATCATCCACAGGCTGTCTAGGTATCGCTTGTACGACAAAGTACTGGCAACGGGATGGTGGAGTAGGGGCAAACGGGCATGGGACAGCGAGGTGCACTGACAAAATCAACAACCTCCCACCTCCTCATCATCAACCTAAACCCATCCCAATCGGTGTGCATCGAGCGACGTTAGACCTGAGGCATGTCCAAAATACCTGTTCCGAATCCAGGCTGGAATGTCCAGGGAGCGATGCGTTGAGCGAGCCGTAGACGGCGTCGCTCTCGAGCCTGTGCTCGATTAGCCGCAATACGTGCACGCAACGCATCAGTCAACTCTACGGGCTGAGGGGGAAGCGGAGGGGGAAGAGAGGACGCGGTAGGCTCATGCAGTGGCTCGGAGTCCCCTGGCTGAGGGGGTATGGTGCCATCGAGGAATGCCAAAGCGTCTGCGTATTCCTGCTCTTCCGAGGCCTCGATGGGCCCTGGGGGGCGGGCCTCAGCCTCGGGATCAAAAACAACTCCGGGCATGGGCTGAGAGGGCGACTGCGGCTCAGGTGGCAGGAACCGATGTCGCTCGGGATCCGCTCGAGTCCGACTAGCACGCGTCGACGCAAAATCTGGGGCCCAGGACTCGTCCGTACCGACGTACGGGTCCCATGAAACGTAAAAAGCTGCAAGCGACCCACGGAGCTCCTCCTCCTCCTCCCTCATGTCCTCTGGCCAATCATGCTCTGCACACGTCACGCGCATATGATTGACTGCGTCCATTATGCTGTCTGCGAGAACTTGACATAGGGCCGGAGGGTAGGTTTTCTTTTTGGCCGTACGCCACTCGTCACGTCGCCTGTCGAACCCCATGAGTACCTCGTGAGCCCCACGTCCGTGAGAACAACGTCCACGCCCAGGTGTCTCGCACAAGCGTCCGTGCATTGTGCCCATGCGCAGTGCAAGTATCCTTGTAGGTGCACGTGCAACCTGACCGTGCTCGCACTGATCAAAGTCGGTCACCGACACTGCTGGAGATGCCATAACAGCCCGTAGGGGCGGGCAATAGAATGAACTGACCGAGTCGGGTCGCCAGTGTGCAGGCATAGGATGTTCCATCCAGCATGAGGTACCGACGGTGAGATGCACGGCGAACAGTTCGATCATAGCCCCTAATAGTTCATTACCAACACGTAGCTGCTCCATTTGTCGGGGAGTGACGGCCAGCAAACCCCAGAAATCGGCATGGGACCGTAGGGGGGGAGGGCCTGCATCAGGGGACCAACGGATAGCTGACCACGTCTCACAGGGTGGCCCGCCGCCTGACAAGACAACTCGCCTGGCTCGTATATGCTCCTTCCATGCCTCCAGCATCTCGCGTCGCATCATATTACCTAGTACTGGGTCGATCGCTATATCGATAGATAAAACCGAAATGGTGAAGTCGGTATGATACTC